GGAATAAGAAGTATTAAGAAGATTTATAAGATGGCATAATAAACTTTATCCTAATTGATGGATATCTCAATGGCTTCTTTGGAGAGAGAGGTGCTTACCTAATGACCTTATAGACTGATCATAAATTTCATGAGATGAAGTAAATTACATGGCACAACAATATATCAATCACTTTTCAAGCAACTTTTTAAATTTTTCATTCGGTTGCCTATTTCTTGTCTACATCACCGACATCCTTATTAAGAGCAAAGTTTCATTCCATCATTCTACTAATCTTTTTAAAACATCAAAATTTTCATTAAAACTTCATCTAGTCAACAAAAATCTATGATGAAACTTCTTGCATTTAACTAAATTGATCGAGATACTGATTCAAATCATAACAAAAACAACAACAAGCCTTTATCCAACTATGTGGGGTCCGCTACATGAATATTTTTTCTCCATTTGTCATGTTAAGGATCAAATTCGCATCAAAATCTAATAAAGAAAAGTCATTTTTAATGTTGTCTAACCAAATCTTTTTAGGTATACGTCTACCTTTCTTAATATAAGTCAAATCTAATACATCTACTTTCCTAACCGGATCATCGGAAGGCTGTTGTTTTACCATCTAGGGCGACTCTCTCTAATCTTATTTCCCATTGGAGCTACTTCAACATTTTCACGTATAAGCTCATTTTGTATATTGTTTTTAACACTGTCGTTGTCATGTCCTTTAATACAAGTCAAAAAGTAAAAAATTGCGTTAGGTAATCTAAAGTCAACGTAAAACTTGTCGAATAATCATAACATGAATCCTTTAATCGAATCAAATCATACGAAAAAAAAAGTTGTTGCTATAACACAAATCATTTTTATATAACCTATTTCCTTACTCTAGATGTTATTTTTGGCCACCACATTAAGCATAGCTAACAAGTTTCAACTTACTAATATTATGATATTGCAAAAGAAACTAAGATACATGAACTATATGAATCAATTATGAATAATGCCTTGAAGCTGAGCATTTCCTGCTCTTCCAAGGCACTCATAGTGGACTTTGAGCCACCAACTCACTATAAAATGGCATCATCAGCTCGGTTAAAGCCAAAAAAACGTGACCCCTCCTTTAACTAATCAGTATATGGATTTGCCAACGTCTGACTTCATTATAGTGCTGGCCATGGCTATACCTACCGTCATCATTTCCCTTCCATAGTCAGTTCCCTCGGTACCAAAGCCATTCACACCATCCCTATAGACTCTCACCAACCCTAAAATATATGATTTTTTTTTTAATTTAATTTATTTTGTTTAGTGGAAGCAAGCTGTACCCTAAAATTACTAAGTATACTATTAATTATTTAATTTTCTATTACTAGAAAATTAAATGGGAAATTAATTATTATTTTGTATTTCATTACTTACTATTTAATTAATTTTGTCATTATGAATTATTTTTCTCCTTAGGCCTATCTACAGTTTGCTTTTCCCCTTCTTCATTTCGACTTCACCTAGTTGCGCGGGGTAGAATTTCGAATTAGTCGCTTCTTCACCTCCTTTGATAATATTTTTTTTTAATTGTGGGTAAGTAACTTAGCTACTTATATTATAAAAAGTATATTTTCATCATAATAATTTATGCAAATCAGTGAGAAAATAGTTGCAACATGAAATTGTAGTTGCTGTCTGATAGTTAAAGTAGCAAAAAAACTTTCTCAAACAAATCTCGAGTCTTTTTTGTATAACTTTATTGTTGTTTTATCTTCGTGATAGCAAAATGTAATTTTTAGTTTTGTGTGGAATCTGATTGTATTGATCAATCAAGTTTGATACGCCACCAAAAATTACCTTGAGCGAACACGAATCTCGAGGCATTTTCAAGTTGAAAACTTCTGAAATTAAATCCAAAACCATCTTAACTCTACTTTTAGCAAACTTATATTCAAATTGAATATCTCAAGAAGATGAACCCAATGACACCGAACTCAATCCAATTCGAACCCAAATGGGTTCAAATTATGGAACCAAAAAATATTTAGAATGTTCAAATCATTAATTGGATGGCTAAATGACCTCTAAATATAACATGCTTATAGTCTAATCGAGCGGCTCGACGAGACGAATCGAACAAGCCCAAGATCGCTTAATTTCAACATCCTCATTTCACTTAAATGCTAGATGAATGTTCTATGATTGGGGGGATAAATATGCGTCGTCCGATGGAGCATTCCGAATTTGCTCCCATATCTTCTCCATGTTTAGGTGCAAGCCACTCTCAAAAAATAAATATATAGACCTCAACTTCCACATTAAAATGGGTTTGGGCTTAGACCTTTTGCTGGAGAATGAAGAGAGCTTTGAAGCTTTAAGGATCTAGAGCTCTACCTAGGAACCATTCCTGGACCATCGCTTGGACACTAACCGTCGTCAGACCACCGCCTGCCACCAACAGCCGCCAAACTTATACCCAGCCGCCCACCACAATTGGACTTCCGCCCGACCATTATTGAACCCCACCCCCCCGGTCGTCAACTGCCATCAAACTTCCACCCAATCTCCAACTACTTCCAAACCTCCTCCTACGGCAAACCATTGCCAAACTTCCACCATAATGCCATTAAAACACCACTTTGACCACCATCACGCCCTGACATGGTCCCTCCGACCTCCGTCGCTTGCTGACTATGGTCCCTCCGACCTCTGTTGCCCGTCAATTATATATCCCCTCTGACCTCTGTTACCTGCCAACTATAGTTCTTCCGATCACCGTCACCCGTCGACTATGGTCCCTCCGTATTCCATCACCTGTCGCTACGGTCCCTTAAACCTTTACCGCCCACTGACTACGATCCATTCGACCTCCATCACACGCCAACTACGATCCCTCTCATCTCCATCACCGACAAGCTATGATCCCTCCTACCACTATTATCAGTCAACTACGATCCCTCCAACCTTAGTCGCACACTAACTATGGTTCCTCCGACAACCAGCGCCCATCAACTATGGTCCCTCTGATCACTGCCACCCGCCGACTACGATCTCTCTAATCACCATCGCTCGCGAGACTATAAGTCCTTAAACATCTGTCACCTGCATGCTATGGTCCCTCCGATCTCCACCACCCGTTGGCTATGATCCCTCCAACCACTATCGCTCGCCAACTACGATCTATCCAACCACCGTAGCGCACCGACTACGGTCCCTCTAACCACCGTCACCCGTTGACTATGGTCCTTTCAACCACCGTCGAATGCCAACTACAATCCCTCTGATCTCCATTGCCCAAATATCGCACTCCCAACTAAATGAACAGGCAAACCTACTCTTAAAAATTACTCCATTATCATTGGATTATTCCAACCTCAATTATGTAATGTGTTATATATATGATACATTGAGCCAATGTATTCCCCCGTGGGAGGGAACCATTTGTAATGAACTACAAACACTAGTGGGATCATTTTAATTAGATTAGACAATGTATTTTTTCCATTTTTCATGGTTTTCCACAAAATATTATTGGTGTCTCTTATGATTCTCGCACCCCTAAATGTGTGCTAGATCTTCGTTTAAAGCTAAGACATTAAGCTCTTTATCTCTCTACCACCGCAAATGTTGTACTATTTTCGAGCCTCAATTTAATTTTTTGAGCTTGTTGGGGGTTATAGGGGGGCCTCTCTTTGCTTAGGTTCAATTTCTTTACACCCAAATTTTTTTTCCATATAAGGCCCTGACGATATGTACCCAAATACCTCGTAGTTGTGTTCCGCACCCCTCGGTTGCTGTATAGTTTAGTGGAAAAAGGTAATGAAGCGGAGTGCTATGGCGCTAAAATTTTGATGCTGTGATGTTCCAGACACAACACTACGGCGCTATCATGTAGGTTGAAATCATAGAGGGAGGGCCACAATGCTACAAGGCTGGTTGGGCAGTTTTCTTTCTCATTTTTTATTAAGGGTTGTGTCCCTTGTGATTTATGTTGTATTTTTGTTTGTTCTAAGTTGCAAGAGAAAAGAGAGACAATGAGAGATTGAGAAAGAAGATATATATATATATACTATTTCCCTTAAATTTTATAGTGAATTTTTTGGTATGATGTTGCTTCATGTTTATTTCTTGATTTCAAGTTTTTTCATGTTAAATCATGTTGTTCTTTCTTTTTCGTTGCATTTTTTATTTATTATTTGTTTAACTACGTGGTTTTAATTCCCCTTAACATTTTTGGTATAACTTTATGACTCTTTTATCTTTTAGATAGTAACCACAATTATCTTTGACTATTATTTTCTTTCATCTTTTCATAAATTTTAATGGTGGCAGTTTTGAGCAAATAAACTGATTAAGTTATTTTTTCTACAACAACTTCACAACTAACTTTATAAAATACTGCTTGACAGCCAATGTCTGCTCATGACAACATTCTCTCTGCTACAATTACGTTTAGCTATTATTTTCTCACAACTTTTTTAAAATTTTTTGTTATTAAAAACTAAATTTTGCAATCAGAGTAATTGCGGCAATCTCAAACATACTCTAAGATTCTATTTGATATAATTGTTTTTGTAAAATGAGATTTTCTTTTTTTAAATAAGGCATTAGTTTCTAATTTTTTTAAAATTATTTTAATAATAAGATATTATGCCCGAAGTAGTCTATCTTATTAAACTCTATTAAAAATCAATGACCATTTCCAACATTTAAGAATATATTTCGTCACACAAATCAGCACCTGCTAGCTGGCCGATCACCAACAGGTGATTAAGAAGGATATTAATCTTAATTAATAATTAATTATGCATTAATTAACCACCCAATTGTTGCCAGTGACAAAGTCCAATATTTCTATTGTAACGGAAGCAAGTCCGTTGAAGGGCATTATGGGAATATCGCTGTATGAAATTTCCTTGATATATAATGACCTTCTCTTCCTTTTTCTCCACTGTTCTCCGGCGCTTCTGTCATCAATGGCTCCGATGTTCTTCCCTTCTTCCCCTCGGTTTAATCCAGCCATGGGAAGAGGCAATGCAAGAGCATTTTCGATTCTCATAGCTGTCGTCCTTGCTGCCGCCGCCGCAGGAAGCCTTTCTTCTGCGGCGAATGTCTATAGTGTTGGTGACGGCGCCGGCTGGACCATCGCGGCGAACTATTCCTCCTGGGCTTCAGGAAAGACCTTCCGCATCGGAGACACTATCGGTTAGTCAAATCTAACCTTCTCTTCCTCTTCGTCCCCCTCTTAGTTAATTTTACCCTTTATCTTCCATCATTTTCGATCCAAGATTAAAATTCCCCTGGCATTAGTCCTTTAGTTTTTCGATTTCGATCGATTTCATTAGGGCATCGTCGGCCACCTGGTCGTAAGATGGTTAAGATCCGTCCGATACGATAGTATTTAAAAGATCAGCGGTCAGTTATAGGCATTAATTGTATTTGCAGCGCGCATCTCAGCTGCAGGCCTGCAGCATTGCTGGATTAGCAGCTTTTGAGGCGTTTCTATGCTGCCATTGCAGTTTTTTGACTGTTAAGCTGCGCCGAACCACTTCGTCTATCTTTTTAACAACTTTTGAAAATGGGGAAACGCTTAATCCTTCATAAATGTCTTTGATATCCCTGCGCGTCTGCAGAAGAATATTATGAGCAGCATTAAGATAGTGAAGATTGAAGACATTAAAAAAAATTGACTGAAATTTTTGTTTAGATTTATCTTAATTGTGAAAATTTGCTCAGATTAATATACTGATTTACACTGTAACATCAAATGATTATGGCCGTTGGAGAATTACAGCATTCATCTACAACAAGTCATTCCACAATGTGCTGGAAGTGAGCAAGGCGGACTACCGTTCCTGCAACGCGGCGGCCCCAATCGCCACACACGCTACGGGGAACGACTCCATTTCCATCACCCGCTACGGCCACCGCTTCTTCATCTGCGGATTTCCCGGCCACTGTGCTGCCGGCCAAAAACTAGACGTCCGCGTGCCCAAGCACCTCTCTGGCGTTCCGCCTTCCCCCTCGTCTGACGGTTCTCAAGCCTCCGGTGGTGGAACAGGAAGCAGCCCCGCCGCTTCGGCTCCTGGGTCGGTGGCGCATGGGGAAGGTGGGGCTGAGAGCATCAGGGGATTTGGTATGATGATAGTTGCTATAGTCGCTGTTGCTTCGGTGGTGGTTCTACACTGATTAAATGCTTTTTATAGCAGGATGGTTATGGTTATAATGATGCGTTTTCTATAAAAATGGTTGGGAAAGTGAACGTGGGAATGTGGCATACAACTCATCTAACGTATTGGTCTTTAAATTCTAGATTTGTATATGTGATTTGTGTAGGTTTATGATTAAATCTTCTTAATTTTTTCAAAAAAGTTTAATGCGAAAAATTACTTTTGTTTTTCGGAGTTTCTATCCCACCCACATAATGGAGAAATTTTTCTATGCGGAGTCCGGACGGGAAGAATCGTATCTTTCTGTCCAGACATGTGAATGTATACTGTGTACATATTTGTACACAGTGTATGTATAAAATTTTTGTACACTTATAATCGGGACAGTTCTTTTGATCTGAACTCTGCATAGAATAATTTCTCCACATAATGAGATAAAGAATTGATGTTATTTTTGTCGGGGTATTTTCTATTGTTTATAGCTATAAATGTTTTGGGTGAACTAAAATAGACAAGTTGCTTGACGTTTAGAGTTCATGACAGTTAAAATATGGGTATAAAAAGAGTGAGTATATGACTTCACTTGATACAGTTGTTTTACTGTTTTTCAAATTGTAATTATAATTTTTATTTTGTGATTATTTTTTTATTGTTTAAAAAAATTATTGGAAAATTTCTCTCTACAACAACTTTAAAAAAGCCATCCCAAATGAACACTTAGGTTTCATTTGGAAACAGCTTTTTTGCTAAATTGTCTAAAGATGATTTCTAGTACAAAAAATTCTTGAATTAAATTTTTTTTACTAGAAAGCCGTTTTAGAAAACAGTCCTAAATTAAGTATGACGGCTTTCTTATTGCTGCTTTTATTATTTATGGGAGGTTTGGCTAGCTTATATATATGATGTATTTTTGACTTTGTCCTCCACCCCCTTAAAAACAAAGGGAAATGAAATCAAATCCGAGCTCTCTATAACTTGATTATGAATCCACAATTACTAATTATTTAACCTTTTAAAATCTTTTTACATTTACTTTTACAAATTTTCTAACTATCAAAACACAGCCTCTAATTCTTAATAAGAAGCTCTTCACTTGAAGTACTATTTTTTGCACTTATAAATCTAGCATTAATCAACACTTATTTTTCATGGTTAAAAAAAAAATTCGGAATGATGCAGAATTTTATTTTTCAGTTTTGATACGCATACTATTTTGACGCAGGAGCGTCCATATAAATAAATTGTATTTTCTTATTAGTGATTGGTGTAGCTCTATCTCTTGTGTAGCCTATTATGTGACTACCTGAAGTCTATAAATATAAGCGATGTCTTGTAATAGGGAAAGATTTGGAGATTAATAAAACTAGAGTTTCTCTCTTTTGAGAATTTTATGTATCCTAAGATTATTCTTAGGTGGTGGTTCTTGCTCCAAGAAGGAGTTCTTAGAGTGGTGTCCGGCGACCGCCACCGGATCTTCGACGTGGATTCGTCGAGCCCCCTCCGGTCCGGTGTCATATTTGTATGACATTTCAAGTCAACATGGATTTTGATGGATCCTAAATTTGTGAATATAAAATATGCGAATATAATAGAGCATGGAAATAAATAAATATTTAAATATAATATATGTACACGTGTCATACTACTATTGATGTGCTTATAAGACCTATGGCTATATATACATGTAGCTGGATGTATTTGATTATCCAATGAATAACATTCTTCTTGTTAGCCTCTACGATCCTTCTTCTTCCTCTTGTCCTTGTTCTCTTGAGTTCTTCAACACGGCATAGAGATATTGATATCTCTACATGGTATCAGAGCGGGGGAGAATAAGTTCCGAAGCCATGGCAAGTTCTTCTGCCTTTCAACAGGAAGAAGATCAAGATTCGGAGACACAAGATGAAATCACCATTCCACCATCTCTAAAATTCATCATAGGACATCTCAAGAACATCGTTCCAATGCCTCTCTCTACCGACATCTACCATCTGTGGCGATCTCAAATCACGAAAATTCTTCGTGCCAACAAGTCTGAAAGGTATCTTCATCCCTCTGTCCCCTTGCCTTCTCAAACGCTAGTTCGATTGGACGGAACCACGGCTCCGAATACTCGTTACGATCAATGGTTGCTCACCGATCAGAACCTCGCAACAGCCATGTGTTCAACGATTTCCCCCTCCATTTTACCATATCTCATCAATCTTTATTCTACGTCATCCATTTGGACCACTCTAGAGCTTAGATTTCAATCCTCAAATCGCTCGAAAGTAATCCAGTTAAAGAACAACCTTCATCATATCTCGATGAAAACCTCCATGACTCAATATCTCACTGATATAAAGTCCTTGGTAGACCAAATAGCCTCCGCTGGATCTACACTTGATACGGAGGGCATCATTCTATATATCCTAAACGGTCTTCCGGCCCCATATAAAGCCTTCAAGACTGCTATAAGAACGATGCTAACACCTATAAGTCTTCACCAATTATACCCTTTTCTTCTAAGCGAAGAGATCAACATAGCTGCTGAAACAGCTCGGACCACTCAAATGGCCGACCTCAATCTTGTCTTGTACACGTATCGTGGTCGAGGTAAAAGAAATCGCAGCATAAACTCCTCTTATGGCATGTCGTCCACCCACAATCCAGTCGATCCTCCTACGACTTGCCAGATTTGTCTCAAACGGGGACACTCTGCATCTACATGCTAGCACCAACTCAACGTAAACTACACGCCCGCTACATCCACCGCACCTACCCGAGCCATGGTGGCTGCCCCAGCAAACCAGTCTGACAATGAATGGTTTCTTGATTCAGGCGCATCATCCCATCTAATGCACTCGCTCGTCGATCTCTCCATCACCAGTTCCTATCAGGGATCTGATTCGGTCACCATCGGCGATGGTCGAATAATGCCTATTGCAAATTCCGGCACAGGTTTGTTATCCATTCCAAATCGTAAGTTGCAGCTGTCTCATGTTCTTCGCATTCCTCACATTAAATACAATTTACTTTCAATATCCAAACTCACAAAAGATAACAATATATCTGTCACATTTGATCCTAATGGCTTCATTTTTAAGGATATTCAAACTTGACAAACTCTACTTCAAGGGCCATGCCATAACGGCCTCTAGCCCATCAAGAATCTTCATTCAAAAACATCGCATTCTGCTCTCACGGCCAAGGCTGCTCTGTCTGAAATCTGGCATAATAGAAACGTAGCCCCACAGCCTGGACTAGTCCATCCTAATAACTTTATTTTTGGAGTGGTTATTGTGCACTAGAATGTTGATTAAATGGTTTTATTAATCAAGTTAAAGTTGTCTAAAATTTTCATTAATTATTAGATTTTTTAAAATTATTTGATTATTTTAATGTGTGAATTAAGGGGCTAAAAGTTTAGCTTTTTTTAATTAAAGTTAAGTATTAGACTTTATAAAGAATAATTAGACTATTAGTTTGCTTAATTTGAAATTTTCTGCAAAAAATTTATGATTTTTCAAAGTTTGAATATTTTTGGAATTTTTGAAATTACCTTAATTAATAGGATTTTTAGATTTTGATCCAAATTAGTCCCAAACCTCTTAGAATCACTCCCAAACGTCAGAAGTAACCTAAGGGGATGTTTCCAAGCATTTGAATTTTTTTTTGGAATTTTTAATTATTTTTAATTTATTAAACTAACTAAATCTCACTTTTAAATTAAAATTAAATTAAATTTGAATTTGCTGCCAAATCAAAGAGGTTTTAATTTATTTGTATTAAGTCTTGAATTCTGGTCAATTTGAGATATTATTTGTAGTTTTTTATTTAAATTTAATTTATTATAATTTTTTGGAAGTTTAAGAGTTAATTAAGGGTTTAATATTAAGTTAATTAATTAAGGGGCTTAATTACTTTTAAAATAGGTGAGAAAAGTTCTATGGGCTAAGAATTTTACTATATTCAAATAGTTTAAATTTCATGTTAGTAGGAAGTGTATCCTAATTTTAAAAATTAATCTAAATCTTTTAGACAAATGTCCTTAATTATTGTCCTTAATAATATTA